AAAAAAAAAAAAAAAAAAAAAAAAAAAAAAAAAGCATGATGCCACCAACATTCCCAACCCCCCTTAGCCGAGTCGAAGCGCCGTTTCAACAACCCGGCCGTGCTGGTTCCTACCTGGTGAGATTTCCAGAGGAAGAACTTTTTCCAGCCAAAGTCCCAGAAACAATAAACCGTACCCCAAAAGGAGCAACTGTGGCCAGAGAAAGTTTTTGCTGTTAATCTGTATTCTTCAAATTTAATTGAAACGCTCCCGTCCTACAATTGTAATGTTTGAAAACAGCGTGCTGTGAGCACTCTAGTACTTACTAGCGAGAGTACTAGAGAGAGTAGTTGCGTACTTACAGTTTGCTATTTTAATCCGTTATAATTATAACGTAGCTCTCCCAGTATTTTAAAACAAGTCTGGACACTAATAGCTTTTTCTTTAAAAAGAATAGAAGTATCGGGTATAAAACCAAGAGGAAGCCACGATGGGAAACTTTAGCAATTAAGTTCTGAATTTAAGAACGTTTAATTTAAGCAATTTAAGAACATTTGGGTTTCCGCTCTAGCCTGCAGGTCAGCCTCACCGCCGCGCTGCTCGCACGCGTGCTCGTTCCTACATTCACTCACATTTTGAGGCCTTTTGGGGTATTTTTGAAAATATTCCGGGGAAAAAAGTCCAACTCTGCTAATAAAGCTGTTAGGAAGCAGCCCTGACACGCTCCGAACTGCTGGATATTTCTCTTTATTTAATGGAGGGAGCAAAAGAAAGCCGGGATGGGATGGGGGGGTGGGCTCGGGGGGCCAGCGAGCTGGCTGGCCACTTGCCCCCCCCTGACGCGCCCACCGGGAGGGCCGGCGCAGGGCACACCACGTTTGTCACTGTGGTTTTTTTTTTTCTCAGCACACAAAAGCAAGATATGTAATTCAATGCTCAATTTACCCTTGTCTCGTAGGAGATTTTTCCCCGCTAATTGATAGAAATTAAGCCATTAATCAAGCCACTAGCCATCATTCAAACCAGGGAAGATGAATACAAACTTTCATCATAACCACCTTCCCCATTTTAGTGTTCATTAGCATTAATTTTTAATGCAATTATGCTATTCTTTTACGCTGAGCTCATAAATTACTGCTCTTTTGTTGCTCGCTGGCCTTGTAAAATCCAAGGTAATGCTTTGTGCTCTGATCTTAAAGGCAATTACTGGGTTCTTCTATCTTTTATATATCTCTAGCCCAAATAACCTCTATATTGTATGTACAAACTAACGAGCGTATATATTACACGTATGTATAATATATAACAATTTGTCCGTGTTAAACCTATACACGTATCTATTATACACATGCAGATAAATAAATGTATTTCTGCGCCTAGCCACACCCCTCCGTACACAGGGACCCAACTGTACAGGAACAACAGATCCAAAGTCCTGCCACGTTACTGTGCACAGGATGCACAGAAAAAAAAAAAAAATTGTAAAAAGGTGTATTGCAGGCTATGAGATTAGTAGCTGAGCTGGGGCTGTGGATGGGACACACCGTGCCACGTGTAGGACAGCGGGGCTCAAACTTTGTGGCTGTGAAGCCTTTTCCATGGCACTGTTTTTGTTTATACCTCAAACCGACGCTAAAATCTGCAGACAGGTGATTGCGCGTGCCCGGTGATATTTTTTTTTTTCTTTTTCCCCCTACTGCATGTTACAGAGAGCGGTGTCATCCGCAGAGCCTGCCCAAGACCTGGCATTAATCTGTGGATTTTAGCAGTTGCAGTCTCACCCAGCGAGACGCGGTGCCAGGGCGATGCTCGGTGTCAGTAACTTCCAGGCTTTTATCCCCGTCCATATATTGATTCTCAGTAATGCAGCAGGGGAAATGCACAGCAGCTACAACCAC